TCCCGTGCACGGGACCTCCCGTGCATGTAGGAGCCATTGATCTATTGGAGATTTGTGACCATGCAGTTATGTATTGGCTATAGTATTATTATGCCCTTTTGTATTCATTCTAACACGTCACCTGACATCTTTTGCTCATGTCTTCTGGCCACCTTTTGCCTCTAACGTCACCTCTTCTCTCATTTGAATAGTAGTTCACACTTATTTGTCTCTCCCATCAACTAGCACGTACACGATGAGAGCGGTGTTTTGGCTCTTAGGTGCATATACACCCATTATTGAAATATACATTTCGAAAAGTTGAAAAATTCGGAACAAAAATCCCACGTGTATATTCGAACATTTTATGTGCATTCACAAGGTTTCGGTGAAAAACGACGTTTTTTGTGACTTGTGTAAAAAAGATAAAGAAATGCCTCGTGAATAGTTAGAATGAAGCATCAGAAATTGTCTTTTTTACACAAGCCACAAAAAACGTCGTTTTTCACTGAAACCTTGTGCACGCACATAAAATGTCCGGATATACACGCGGGATTTTTGTTCTGAATTTTTTAACTTTTTGAAATGTGTATTTCGACAATGGGTGCATATGCACCTAGGAGCCAAAGGCAATTACCGGTACACAATGAATTTTCTTGGAGCGTCATATCTTTTGAACCATGAATCCGATTGCTGATATTTTTATATATATGAATAGTTCGCATCAAAAACTTTAAAATAAGACCAATATTGATTTCATTTCAAGTAATTTATTTCACCGATTCCAAAGAACATATTTCACTCAACTAAAAAAGATATTTCACAATTAACGTGATATTGAAATATGAAATTGGAATGCAACTAGTATATATAATGTGACACTGAAATATGAAATATGAAATTGAAACTTTCAGACCGCATCCATTTCAATATCTAGACCAGTTTCAATAACGCATCTATTTCAATTAATGCGAGATTGAAATATGAGAATGTAACCAGTATATATAATGTGACAATGAAACATGAAACATGAAATTGAAATTTTCAGAACGCACTCACTTCAGTTTCCAGACCAGTTTCAGTACCGCATCCATTTCAATTAATGTTTCCAGATATTTTACTCTTTTGAAATAAACGGTTACACATTTATAAATAATCAGTTTCACAAGTTGACATTTTAATTTCATATTATTTACACTTTGAGAACCTCCATTTCACTTTTCATTGGGTTGTTTCACAAAAATCACATATATTTTAATTGCACATTTTTGAAATAACATATTTCACTTTTTTTAAATATATTATTACACCTTTATATATAACCAGGTTTACAAGTTGCCATTTTAGTTTCCTATTTGGATTAAATAGGTTTATAATGAAATAGGTTGGTTTCACATATCTCTACTATCTAAAAGAAACGTAGTGTTCCGTTTCCCCTCTTACGTTCCCCGCTTCGTCCAACCTCTCGTATGACCCCCTCACCCCCCGATTTTCTTTCCCCTGTCCCGGTTTTCTCCCTTACGGTTTTCTCCCTCTGGCCGAACAAACAAGACACAGTCAATCAGATAAGGTAACCAGAGGCAATCATTCCAAACGCAATCTTTTCACATAAGGCAACCAGACACAATTAATTTAAACTCAATCAATTCATGCATGGCAACCAATTCATTCAATCACCTTCCTTCTTTCAAACAAACGGTGATCAATCTCTCATTCCTTCTTTCATTGAAACCGTGATCAATATTCTTCCTTACACGATACCATATGAAGACCACGCCCTTGGCGCCCGACACATACCAAAGTCACGATTGGATCGTAACAACAACATCGAGTCTACTTTGCCCGGATAGCGTCGCCTCCTGTCGCCGCCGCCGCTCTTTTTCCAGCGCACTCTGGTGGCCTCCGCCGCTGTGCGTCCACCACGATATACCTCCGCTCTGCCCCATCTTCTAATCGGCCGCCGTAAGCACCGGGGAATCCTCGACTGTAGGAGCGTGCGCTGCATTCATATGATCATTGCATCTGGGACTACATCTACCATACAAGGCCTCTGGTTCAGCCATGGTGTGCGTGCCAACAGCGTTGCGCCTGCGAATGAAGTGCCTGGTCGGTGCGGTGCTCTGGGCGGCGCCGATGACACGACCTCCTTATGGGCACCCTGACAACACCCTCCGCCAGTCTCTGACGTGTGGCTCTCCTCCTTGAACGTGATGATGCAGGCAACACACAATGACTCCAACAATGCACACGCTCGCACAGCGACTGCAGACAGCAAAAACAAGGTGAGAACGTGAGCATGCATGGGCCGGCCTTGGGTCCGCGAGGGATATCCTTTAGAGCGGCGTGGACGCCTATCCATGACCTGCTCATGCCCCTGAATGACGTCCATGGTAATGCATGCAGATCTTGGATTTCCTGAGCTCCTACGCAGCTGCATATTGATTTTGGCTGGCATGTTTATACCCTTTGCAATTTATAGGTCGTTACTGAAACAATTGACATCTAATTTGTTGTCATGTTTCTTTACGCACAAGATTTTATCTCCTTTCTAATAAGTAAATGGTGAATAGTGAGCATTCGTTTTGTGAGTTAAGCATCATTCAGAGAAGATAATGACCATGTAGCTGGCATGCACGGTTCTGCACTCTTTGATCTTGATGTACGATGCTGCTTGCACAACCGCAGGAACGTCACACCTGCCGCCACAGCACCTGCAGCTCTGCGCGCACCTGCAACACGGTCGTGCATCCTCAGTGCAATGTATTGGTGTCAATATGAAAATCAATCTATGTACTCCATCCGTTCCAGATTACTTGTCTTCGATTTGTCTAGATACAGAGGTATCTATCACTAAAATGAGTCTAGATACATCCGTATCTAGACAAATTCAAGACAAGTAATTCGGAACGGAGGGAGTATATGATAATTACGTATCGAAGTTTCTGGGCTCCAAGAGAGTACTATGTACATCTACATGCAATTATATTCTGCTTAAATTTACTATCTCTAAACAAGTTTAATTCTATAAACATACTCCCAGCATTAAGGTGATCCCGTACATGAAAATGGATTTCAAACATATCAAATAGGTTCGGCAATGGAGGAGACGGGAGAGAGCACCCCGGTTCGCAGGTTCCGCTTACGCCTCCCTCAGCCCGTCTTCTTCATTCCCTTGTAGCTAGGGTAAATGACTGAATCCAAGAGAGAGGTTTCTTAATTTGAGGTCGGTCTTTTTAATGTAATTTTATTATTTCCTCACTTATTGTTTATCAAGAAACATCAAGGGAATAGTGGAGAAAGCTTTCGGTGAGTATTACTGCCTCCATCCCAAAATAAGTGTCTCAACTTTGTACTAATTTTAGTATAAAGTTATATTAGAGTTGAGACACTTATTTTGGGACGGGGGGAGTACTAGAGTACATGCCAGAGTTGCAAAAGGACGGGGGAAGCATTTTGCAAGAGGTTTCCGGACGTGAGAACTTTTAGTATTTTTTGCAATATGCATGTTGTGGCACTCATTTATTTAAACAAATAAATGCATTGTGCATGTACAATACTGTAATAAAAGGAGAAGAGAAACTGAGTAAAGTTTTTCCATCGAGCTGACATATTGATAGCATTACTTAAAAATATCACTTATACATATAGTATATGAGTGTTCCCCGTTGCAACGCACGGGCATTTGCCTAGTTTCTATTGAAAAAGAGTGTCTTTTTACAATTTTCTAGTGTAATAGTTTGTTTCACATAAGAAATGTGAAATGTTGAAACTTAAACGTGTTTGAAATGTATCAAAGATTAGTCTTGTTTTAAAGGTTTGGCCTCAGGAGTTTAAATATATAAAAAATCACAAACGAATATTTGATTCAAAAGTTATGAGTCATTTAACATTTCGCATGAAAAATAAAATGCAAGTTTTTAGTGGGAGAGAGAGAACAAATAGCTATGCATGCACCATACTATCTCTTTGTATTGTGGTGTATTGACAATTTCGAGTGTAGTATTCAATAAACAATGCAAAAAAGCTTCGTCGGAGCTCGGATCATGATGCAGGCACGTGAGGTCCCGTGCATGGTAGATTTTCTGCTTGGATGTCCTTTGGGACTCCCTATATGTCATGTGCCTGCAAACACTTTCAGCATCAGTGACAGACCGTCCGATCAACATCCAATGGCTTGGAGCATGCCGCCATCTCTTCATCGTCTTCCACCTCTTGCGGCTCCTTGCGTAGCTGCCAGCCTACACAGGCCAAACCGCCAGCCTCTGTCGTACCCTCCGGTCCATCTTGCCCCACCGTCGTGTTGGCCATCGCCTTCTCCATCCCTCT